TAACCAAGAACCTNAAGTATATGTGACCCAACTTACTGGGAGGAAGAAGAAATTGTTTGAGTTGAGACTTAAGATGGTAAGTCTTTTTTTTGCTCTCTTATGATTTTTTTGTTTCGAGTCGATGATATCACAATTGCTGCAAGGCTAATTTGTGAAATTTTTTATTTTTCTTCAGTTTTCAATTAGAAGACGTTGTACAACGCATATAAGAAACGGACAAAGAACATTCAGGTTGATCTAGAGGAGTATAACAGAATGAGAGCAGCTGATCCAGAGTTTTACCGCGAGGCCTCAAGCTTGCAATATGGGAAGGTTTGTTATTTGTCAATATGGTCAGTTGTAGCTTAAAGACTTAAGCAAAGAGAGTCATATGTTTAATTGTGTATGTTAATCTTTTGCAGGCTCCAAAAACTTCAAAAGACAAGATAGATAAGATGGCGCAGGAGCTCCACGACAGAGAGCAAAAGCGACAGGAGTTTAGCAGGAGGAGAAAGTTCCGAGAAGAGAAGGATATTGATTCCATCAACGACAGAAACGAGCGTTTCAACAAGAAAATCGAGCATGCGTTTGGGAAATACACGATGGAGATCAAAAAAAACTTGGAAAGAGGAACTGCATTACCCGACTAGGCTATACTTGTGATCACTTAATGGAAACAAGGGAATGGATTTCTGGTCGAAATGTAACCTTTTATACCTTTTTGTCTGCTTATTTCCCTTAAGATAACTAAATTGTAGAATGTCTGAAAGTAATTCTGTACCACTAAATTCTCTAACTAGAGAAAAAAAACGGTAACAAGAAAAAGTTCTACTCTCTTTAATGTCTTTTTTTTTACCTCACCAATACTAGAATGCTAACGAAATTCATGACACAAAAAGCTTTGGTAAAATAAAAAGATTTTGAATGCCGGTTAGTATAAATTTCCTTAATAAATTCATCTGAACAAACTTAAGTTCTGGATACCACAATCCCTTATATATTAATAGAGAAGTTATTAGCTTAGTTGTCCTCTCTAGAATCATTCTCCCATTTTTATTATGACATGCCATTGATAAAATATGACATGGCAATTCGACTCTCTAATTAAACCCACTAATCATAATTACTTAGCCCATTATTAATTTTATACACAAAAATATTAAATGTATGCAGGAAAATATTAATCTATGACTATTATTAATTAGAAAATTGATAGTCCAAAAACCGATTTATTATTCTTGAAACCTTAATAATCTTCCCCTAGCTCACGTTAATACTGAATAACATACGTCTAGC